AATGCCTAACATGCATACATCCCTCTGAACTATATTTATTTAGGAAGACAGTGTCCCTCTAATAATAGAGAATACAAATTCTCTTCAGCACTGGGGCCTAAATTATGCAGATGTCTTGTTCCAAGTGGCTGAACTATTCTGAACATGAAAATATACCAAAAACTTGCTTTCCTAAAAGTTCAATTAGCAAACAAAGGCAACCTACAAATCTTTGAGTAAATGTACAAAATTGTTTTCATAGATTTTATAATGAAAATGTTCATATAACATATCATAGCTGTCACTAAGATCAAAAACAGTTTGCTTTTCGTTTCATTAAACATTCAACTTCAGCTTGTTTTTGGCTTATATGAAATTAATAACAAATAAATAAATATTTCCATTTTATTTCTTAGTATTAAATATTTGGCAATCATTTTTCTAATTTCCTGATTATTTTGAGTTGCAATTAGATGCACAATAAATCTTTGTATTATCTTTTGGATTCAGCTAGAGAGCCTTTCGGACAAAAACAAAAAAGCAAAATGACAGCAAAGGAACAAAAAAGAAAGGAAGAAAGAAAGAAAGAAAGAAAGAAAGAAAGAAAGAAAGAAAGAAAGAAAGAAAGAAAAAAGACACTGCACATCACATTTGGTTTTCTAATGTTTAAATAGTTCTATAAACTAGGTGCTACATCATATCATATTGATCCATAATATGATGAAATTAAGACTGTGTCTGTCACTGATCAGGGTTTGCTTCAGAAAACTGAGAACGAACAATTTCAGTTTAATCAAATGAAATAAGCACATAAAGGAAGCATTGTCGTTATTTTACGATTCTTCTAACCTAGATTTTCTTATTTAATATAGATTGGAGCAGTTATCACGGTAAGTATAAATGACATAAACTAAATTTTCTTCATAAAGCTGAAATTATTTTAATAGCTGTAAAAAGCAGAAAACCTATGTCATTATCTCTTAGTTCAAATGATTTTAATGTCCTTGAGTAAAAATGTATCCAAATATGAGATGAATACAGAATCACATTGTATAATTTTCTAAATTTTAAAAGTACTTTAACTTTTTAAAAATTCTATAAATTGAATTTACTGTTCTTAGATGGTTCTTGTATACTATTGACATTTATTTGGTGGATTAATTGAAGATATTTTATCATTGTAAAATATTCCTTTTTAAATGATTGTTGCAAGCTGGTAACAAAATTTCCACAACTGAAATAATTTGTTTTATTTTTCTGCATCAAAATGCTTTGCTCTGATTAAGAATTCATTTTTTTTATCTAGTAACTCAAAGCTAAAAGCTCAGATCCTGTTACAATTATTTTAAATTTTAATATAATTTGACTTTAATTTCAGTCAACTGTCTTTTGTTTTTTTTAAAATGTATTTGGTATAGGGTCTGCAGGGTCAGCAGGTTCTACAGGGTCTCACTACGTAGATCTGACTCGTAGTGATCTTCCTGTTTTCAGGCTCCTAACTGTGGAGATTACAGGCACGTACCACATGAAGGGGTGGGGGACCTCCAGCCGCTGCCTAAGCAGGAGCTTTTGTCTGCTAAGCTATCTGGCCCACCCACAACTGCCTTTCTTGATTCTTTCAGTAATGTAAAGCAGCTGTCTCCCATGCTTCCATGTTGTGGGACGACTGGATTTGTATAGCCAGAGGGCTCCTGAGATTAATCTTGCTCTAGATGAGTCCTGAGCCACTGATACTTCTCACATTTATTGAGGACCACAAACATGCTAAGAAATGTGCATTACTAATTTGGTGTAAACAAACTACTATCTCTATTGCCTTCTGGCATTTATAGCCAATCCCAGATGAAGGATCAAAGAACAGATAGGGTTCCTCAGCAAATCCTGTTATCTGTGACCTTCCACTGATGGGTTCCAAGGCAGGGCACACAGCTCAGTGGCATGAGAACTTGCCTGGCAAGGGCAATGTCAGGAGTTTGATTCCTGGTACAAGCAAAACACTGATGGGTTCTGGCCCTACTACAGACTGTTAGATTACCATGGCCATGATCCAACAGGGCTGAATCCCCAAAACAACGTTTTATATGCCCAGTGACCACATCCTCCTCCTTCTCCACTCCAGCCCTGGATATAACTTCCTCTTATCTTTCCCGCCCATTCAAGGGGAGCCTCCAGTCAGCTCCTTGTGTGTCATTGGCCCTGCCCCTCAAACTCCGCCCTTAGCAAAAGCCCATGAAGTGTCATCCTCCCAGTCTCTGGTCAGAGGCTCTGCCCATCTCCCAGCCCTCAATACTCTCCTTGTCCTCACGTTAATAAAGGCTCCCCTCCTCCTTACGTCTGCTTCTGTGCTGCGCCGCCTCCACCACCACCTCTCTTGCTCCCTTTGGATGTTAGGCTTTTGTCTCATATCACTACAAAATTGTTAAATTTATCATGCATTTTCTTAGAATACATCATTGTAATGATCAATTTAATATCTTTAGCTATCATCTGATACAACCAAAACAATCCACGTTCCAATCCACGTTCCAACAGAAAGTCACAATTCCTTTTAATGCTGAAATTCATAATAAATCTTTTTTTCCTTTCTTTTTTTTCTTTTTCTTTTTTTTTTTTTTTTATTCTTTTGGCTTAACCAGGGATTGGACTCAAGCCCTTGTGCTTGCCTGGTAAGTGCTTATTCTATTGAGCTATTTCCCCAGCCCCTGTAATAAATATTTATTCAGACTCATTATTTACTGTGTCCATTGAGTTCTACCTTATACATTCCTATTAATTTGGCTCTAATAATACACCTTCACTTATCTCATCACAGAAATAAATTTGAAGGCTGAACTACATCATCCAAAATTATAAAAATCTTTTCATTTAAATATTACTATGTAAAAACAAGAAATTGTATGTTTATTGGGTACTGACAATATTTTGATATATGTATACATTCAAACTGTTTAAATTAGCTTAAATGTTCAGCCTTCATCTGCATTTATCAAGTTTACGATGAAAACATTAAGATTCTTCCTTTACAAGTGTTTAGAAAAACACTGCACATTATCTTTATCTATGGTCACTATACTTTTGCCACATTCCAGAAAGAATTTTTTCTATTAACTATAACTTCATACCTATGTTTTCATTTTAAATTTAAAAATTCATCATATTATTTTAATAAAGGAAAATATTTAATTAGATTTTGATCAAAATAGTATGTCTTTCAACGGATTTACCAGATGTATTTGACATTGTTATCATTGCAATGCAGGGCTTCTGTATAAAATATGCAAATAAACATAGAATAATTTGCTCAGCACACAGAAAAAATCATTAAGAAAAATCAACCCACTTCCTCTGACCGGACCCCTAGGCATATGTGTGTCATACGAGGAAAGACACATGTGCTTGCTACTGTATATAATAGAATTCAAAGATTAATCTGAAGTGTACTTTGAGTTTCATGGCAATATACCTTTCATTGCTTCTGTTATAACTTTCAATTGACTTAAGTTTAATCAAATAAAATTGAAATTTAATTCCTTGGGTATGTTATTCACATTTCAGGTGCTCGGCACTCACACGTATTTCATTAGAAGCCGTAATTAATAAAGCAATATCACTTCTTATCTTAGCCTGATGTAGTAAAACAAACCTGATGAAATTTTAAGCCAAATGTTTCCGATGCAGTTCATGGATGTGTCTCAAATCCACAGAAAAGGACAGAGACGCAAGATGTAAAGCAAGGGGCCAAATGGCAGTACTTGGTGTTTTTCTAAGGATTCGTAAAACTCACTGAACCTCGTTTTTAGCACACAGCAGGAACACAGTGAGACGAGATTAGAAAGGAAATCTGAGCATAAGATGAGTGGACAAGGACCTGACAGGGAGTGCACGCCTATCAACAGTGCAGAAAAGGGGTATGAGCATCATTTAGTCAGAACTTTTGGTTTTGAACATAATTTTTTTTCCTTTGGTGGAGAAATTTTCCATGCGATTGCTCATCAGTGTAGCAAGGAATGGAAGCTAAGGCTTGCAGTGATTGGCTTGCAAAGAAAGGGCAGCTCGGAAAATGCATGGTGGAATCACTAACGTTGCTCACAGCTGTTTTGTGAAGGCAAAAGTCACCTGCTGTGATGCCCACATCCTTACATCTCCACCAACATTAGTTTTCCGGTAACTTTAAAGGCAAATCTCCGTCTAAACTTTGAAGGCTTTCCCTTGCTCATGCTAGTTTTCTTGGTTTCTTAGGAAGAACTTTTGCTGGTCATTCAGAGACTTTTATGGGAGTTTTCCCCACATAAATAAATTGCCCCATTGTCTTTCCTATCATACAAGAAAGAATCTATGATCATCATCACCCTCCTCATCACCTCATTCCTATGATGACTATGACGACTGAGAAAGAGACATTCTGGATTACTCTGTGACAATGCTGAAAAGATAGAACATATCAGAAATATTTTTCATCCACTGCGGTGTAACACTATATTTAAAAGCTTACATCAGTTTAAAAATCAACTGCTTGTGATCATCAAATTGAGAAATACTTTCCAAAATACAATATCTCAAAGTTGAAGGCACCAGATAGATCTAAAGATAGCTTTTAACCTCACTTGTTCTCCAGAATGATGAAGTTTCTTACTTAAATCTACTATGACAATATGGATTTTTAGTTTCCTCAGTTAGGTTCTATTTGTTAGATTCAGACTGTAACTTAGTTTTTACCATGCAAAGAGAAAACTAATAAAATGAAAATATCTGTACAAGATTACTTAGAGATGAGACAGTAAGGCGAGAGAGTTACTTAAACCAGGAGTTTGAAGCAGTCCTGAGTTTAAGCATAGAGATATCTCAAACCAAATTAAACCAACCAAATCAAACCAAATGAACCTAACCAAAACAAACAAAAGAAGAAAAATAAAACAAAAGAAGAAAACAGACAAACAAAAAACCTTAACACATTCAAAGTCTTCTGTTATGATAAAAATAATGTGCTAATACATCCTGGGTAGCATTTTAAAAGGAACTGGTGGACCTCCTCAGAGCAGGTGGCTTGAAGAATGGCTTCTCTGTTTACAACATGCCCAACAGGAACTTAGCATCACTGTGACAAGGGGCGTAGAACTTACGACTTCCCTTTGAGAAAAGGTGCCATGCATGTACTGCATACACTTCCACATGACTCCTAGACAGTATCAACGGGACAAGGCACTATGGCATTTAGTGAGGGAGGTGGGCATTGTTCACTGATCCATGGTGATCCATGGCAGTCTTAGAAGTAAAGACTGAATTTCTATTTTCAATAAATTTAAAATAGTAATAAATAAAAACAATTCTTCTTTCCAAAATAAAATAAAATAAGAAACTGAATTGTAATCCAAGTATACTGAATGGTAGCCACCTATAGGGAAGATGCACGCATGTAGATGATGTTTCTCCACCACAAAATGGAAAGACTAGCATGTTTTTAGCAGCACTATGTACAGTCACTAAGATACAGCAGCAGCTTCAACATTCATCAGCTGCATAAAGCAAACGTGCATGTATAAAAATAACGGAACATCATTCAGCTTTGAAAATGCAACACATCCTGCTGCTACAACAAAGTGGATGAACATGAGGACATTATGCTAATGTAATAACATAGACACAAACACAGATACTGCATGGCCTCACTCATGTCATTCTACAACCATGGAACTTAGTTTAGGGAAACAAATGCTTCTCAGGGTTCTGACTAAGATCACATGAGAGACAATGCAGCAAGCTGGTTTCCAGAGGGTGAGGGGTAGTATAACGATAGTGGTCAGAGGGAACAAATATAAGTGCTGGACAGTGAGGTACAGCACGGTAACTGCAGCTGGGAACAATGTACTGTTCCTTGAAACTTACTGAAAAGTAGAACTTTGGTATTTTTATTGAAAAAAGAGATAATGCAGGCAATATTGATTAGGACAATCATGAAATACATCACATTCAGTTATATATTTATATGTCTAGGTGTGTTTTTAATTGGGTTGATGTTATTTGGAGTTCTATATGTTTGGTTAACTGAATGTCAGATTGTTTTCCCATATTTGGGAAGTTTTCTGCTATTACTTCTGCCCAAACTCTTTTTACATCACGTGAATTGACTCCTTCTTTCTTGTTAATGCTTATTAGTCTCATGTTGTTCATCTTTGCATCCTCTTTCAGATATTGAATTATTTTTTCCTGCATCCTAATTGTTTTTAAAAGATCTTTCCTTACCTTTTTACTAGCTGCGATGTTGTCTTCAAGGTCTGGAATTCTATTTTTACTTTCATTCAAATGATTTTGCAAAGATCACTTTGTAGTGATAAAAAAAAAAATATATATATCTGTATATACAAAATAGCATAGACATATAGCTACTTTCTCTTAGTTCAATGAGAAATTAGTTTTGAACTAATAGTGTTTAGACAAGATATCATGTCTGCATCTTGTACTATGACTAACAACTATGAAGACAACAAGATGCAATGTAGTAATTACTATAACTGTCCTACTAACCTGTTTTGAAACTGTCTCATTTCTATTTCTTTCTCAATAAAGTTAATATAAAAATATGAAATATGTCACATTAATGCCATCCACTATATACTTTTATTCATTTATACTTGGTTTGGGGGAATGGAAGTACAGCCCAATTTGCAGCTTCCAGATCTTCTAAGTGTTTATTCATGCAGTACTTTAACTGAGAAGGACTGTATTATTCATGTGCATTTCCTTTATATGACCTTTTCTTTTTTACCTTAAAGTAAGATATACTAAGAAAGCTAAAAAAATAATTTGGATATTTGTATTTGTACTCATTTTCTTTAAAACTTAATTTAAAATCTTTATCAAATTTAATAGGTTAAAACATTTTATTTTTCATATTTTATAATGATAAATATAAAAATTAAACATCCCAATGCTTAGGTAGTTAAGTTGTAAGGGATTTCTCTTCTAAGTATGTATATTTATAGTAAAAATGCTTTGAAAAAAAGGGAGTTTATGGAGATAGCTCAGTAAAATAAGTGCTTATGTGGCAAGCACTTGGTCCTGAGTTCAATCCCTGGTACTACAAAAAGAAAAGAAAACAACCTTTTAATTATGAAAAAGAAAATAATTTATGTAGCTGTATTAAAGTCAAACAGCTTTAAAACTGAAACAAGAAAGAACAGTGAGATCAAAATATCCTTGTAGAGAAACACACTAGAGGTTACTGGTAGATGATAAGAATTGCCTTTGTGAGTTGGATTTCAAGTACTTTTTTTCTTTTGTTTCCTTAGAACTCTACAGTCCATATGAATCATATGCAATATTGACAGAAATAACAGAAATCTTATTTAACACTGCAATTGTTAATATTCACTTGGATCTTCCTGTGACTTTTCCTTCTGTGTAAGAATTATTTCTAATCATGAGTTTGTCAAAACAAATCTATGCATTGTAAAAAAGAATCCTAACTGGTTACCACAGATACTAATATGAATTACCATTATACTGTCATGCTTAGTAATTTTGTATAAGAGTATAATATATAGTATAGTATGCCATCATATGGTATAATGCAAAATAGTTATAAATGTGGTCAGAACAATGTAATATTTAACACCAACTGTGAGGCATAATGTGACTTACAGATGCTCAGTAAAGATATACGAATGTAGGCTCATCGATTATAACGAATGCATTACTCTGGTGGTACCTGTATGTCGAAAATGGCAGAAGCTATACATGCAGGCAAACAGGAAGTACATGAAAATTTCTGTATTTCAGTTCAATTTTTCTCTAAATATTATTAGGATAAGACTAATATAGATGAAAGTAAATTTCTGATATATTTTACATATTCAGCAGTATCACAGAATAATCCAGATTTCATATTCTTTAATAACATATTGTGGAAAAATAACTTAATCTGAGCCAGAGAGATAACTTAGTGGCACAAGTCCCTGCCTGGCAAATGCAAGCCCTAACTTCAATCCCTGATACAAAAAAATAAATAAATAAAAAGTAAAAATAAATTAGTATTTAGTTTATTTTCAATAAGACCAACATCAACTAGATGTCAATAATTTATTACATTTTCAGTGATCATGCAAACAATAGCGATGACATATGCTATCACTCTTACTTTTCCTTTAAGAAAATAGGAGTCCAGTGCCATTAAAGCAATCCTCATGAGTAGCAGATGTATAAATCCATGCTAACCCTTAATCTATGCATGCAATAATTACATTAAAATAACACCAAATCAGTTATATCCACTATTATTGCTGCTTTGCAATTCTTTGATCTTTATTTTATAATTTTTTGTAATAAAGTAAAATAAAGCGCAAGCTCATAGATTTCCCCTAAACAGTCAAAGGACCTACCAAGTGAAGTATTGTGCAGCTTCTAATTATAATTGCAATATTTAATAAATGAAACACCTACCTTTGAGATAATCAAATCTTTTAATTGAATTCAACTAGTTTTATAGTGTACAGAATCAGATCTAGTATTCAAATACTGTGAGGAAATGTGAAATTATAATTTATTGCTAAATTGAACTATTATTCCTCTAAAATAGATTTAATACAGAAGGTGAGTGTAAAAATGAATTATATAATTGTCTACAATTTGACTCCAATTAGGATAGCATGCTCTGTGCTTGCAAAACATACTTGTGTTCGTGGGCACACACACATGCAGACACCTTCAAGCATGTGGAAAATTTCCTATTTATGAAATTACTAAGGATTCGCTAAATCTAGCTGGTCCATCAGAGTGTTCTCCATTATGCATTAGACAAACAATTTCTAGATGTTGCCACAGACACTAATATCACAACCAAAATGGATTAAAAATACTTAAGATTTCAAGTAGTTTAAGAACATGAGGGCTTTGTTATTTTAAGGTTTATCTTCTTTTATTTTAAAAGCAGTATGATTGAGGAAATTCACTGCATTCAGTTAGTATATATCCATACCTATTACAAAACCTTGAAATTTCTTTCATTCTTTCCTAATCTGTGACTAAAGGGAAAGATGATAAAAAAATATAGGGATAGTTTGTGAACTGTACTCCTTCTGAATGTGTCTGATGAACTGAAACGAGCGGACATCGGAAGAGTACATGACTTTACATCTCATTTCTCCCAGGGGAAAAACAGTTCTGTGTATGTGTGTGTGTGTTTTGGTATTTTTTTTTAAAGCCTAGGCTTTGAAGATAACTGCAGCAGCAAGAAAATACTCATTTTGCTTTATGATAGAAGCAAAGAAAAAAGCTAACTAGCGTGTGATATTCTGTTAGTGATTAATAATGAAAAATAAAATATTATGTCTACTGTAGTTTTTGAGAAGCATGCTCAAAGGAAATGCAACTAACTAAAATACTAAATATTTTTAAATGCATGTACAATGAAAGAATAAATCCATCCTCAAAAAAGCAGCAAGAGAAATAAAGAGGATTAAGTGCCAAATATATTATTGATAAATTACAAGTTACATGGCATTCTTCTCATAATTAAATGACTAGTTTCAGAAAGGAAGGTATATCTTTGCTATACTCAAATGTTGGAAAATTACTTTTAAAAAAGACAAAGAAAAAAGAAAAAACTAGTCCATCAATCAGCATAACGAAAATACCTTTCATGACCACAATATTAATAACTATAGTCTTCTCAAAGCAGTAATACATAACAGTTTGCGATTTTGTCCCAAGGTTAGCTTTTAAAGTGCCAAATCATGTATTTATTTAGCCATCTTTGTACATGAAATGGAATTTTTGTTTTAGTTATTTTTATCAAAGACATAAACAGTAGAACTTTTAAAGTGCCAAGGCATGTTTTGATATTTACTTAGATTTTGTGTGTGTGTGTGTGTGTGTGTGTGTGTGTGTGTGTGTCCAAAAAATAACGTACTTCTTGAATTTCCCTCAAGAGGCTACCTGACCAGTGGCTGCGAACCCTTACAGAGACAAACATTATCTATTGTCTGACACTCGACATAACAGCTCAATCTCACTATATTAACTGAATTTCGCGTTCTCCCATCCCCTGTGGGCCCTTCTTGCCTATGATTGATGCAGTATAGCACAGTGTTTGAACTGCCTTTCTGGCTTGACAAACAGCAGGAAAGGTCCTGGTGCTGAGAAACAGAAGAGACAC